AGCGAGTTGCCAATGACGTGGAATTCGATGATGCCGCGGCGCTCCTCCAGGCGGGCTGTCTCGTCCCGGGCTGCATTGGCTGACAGCAGGCTCGTCTGGGCGCCAGAGAAGGGGTGGTGAGCAAGGGTCTCAGGTTCATGAGGGCTCCCTACCCCTGCTGGCCAACAAGCCAGACTGCCTACCTCGGGCCCCAGCATGGCAGCAGGGTCAGTGATGGTGAGCATGACCTCATTGACCAGCTCCATGGGGATGTCGCCCATCACACGGAGACGCTTAGCATCCTCCAGGGTCAGGTTCTCTGGGAGCTTCCTCTTCTCGCCTGCTGGGGAGGTTGGCAAGGTCTTCCAGGGTTAGCCAGAGATATTGGGGGAGGGGTGAGTGAGGGTCAGGAATCAAGTACCCACCAGGCATGGGCTCAGCACCTCCGGAATCCAGACTCAAGGAACTGTTGCTGCCCCCACCCATGGTAGGGCTGAAGATGGGGGTGCTGGGAACAACTGCTGCACTGACCGTAGCTGAGAGACAGAAGAATCAGGGGACACGGGGGTAGGGGGTTCAAAGGTGTTGGTGGGTCCCAAAGAGGGATCTGGACCCTCCAACCCCCAGCTGAGGCCTCCTGCACTTCTCTTCTGTTGCCATTCGCAGCCCTTCTTCCAGAGCGGAGTCGGGGGAACGCCTGGGCTCAGCCACAGAGGCCAAGCAGAGATCCTGTAGAACCTGCTGCGGCACATACCTGGCCGGGGCACCAGCTGGGTCCCCTCTGAGGGCGGCATGGTGAAGCCTGACTCCCAGATCGGAGAGTTTGCCCCGTAGATCTCCTCCTCCAGCATGGACAGGAATCTGTGGAAGGGTACAGTCTGTCCCACAACTCTGTCTAACCAAGGGCGCAGCCTGGGCCAAACACCGGGGGATTGGAGGTGGATCAGAGAGACAGACCCTCTTCTCAGGGAACCGGGAGTCTAAGAACAGAGGCAAGCTCTGCCTTCAGACTAGGGAGAGATACAGTCCCCCACCTTCTGGGAGACCCTCGCTGAAGGTAGGAGGACAGAACAAATCCAGGACAGCGACCAGAGGCCCAGTTTGCCATAGTGTACAGAACAGGGAGACAAGGTCAGAACTGATGCCATTCTGTACTGCGTGGCCAGGCAGGGTACCAAGTCACTGAGCCTCAGAATCCACCCTCCTGCTACCTTGTTCCCACCCGCTGGCAGAAGGGGCATGGAGGTCCTGAATTAGTCAGTAAAGGCATCCTGAATGGATAGGTATGAGCAGGTTTAAAGTGAGAGGAAGGTGTGGCAGAACAGAAAGAACGAACTAGAATAGGAACGGAAATTGGTTTCACCTCAAGTGTAAGCCCTGGTTTTTTTGGAGTGCTGTGGTGGGAAGGATGCTGAGGCTGTGTCCAGGCCCCATGGGAAACAACTGGTAATGTCTACCAGGGATGTGGGCAGGGATAGTGTTAGTACTCAGGCCACACATCTGCCATCCCTGATTAGTTCAAAAGGCACCGCTAACAAGCTGCATCTGGGCCATGGGCAAGTCTGGTAGACAGACAGACACCCAGATCCTAGAAGGCCTATGGAGGAAGGGGAGGGACCAATCCAGGAAGCATTCCTGGAAAAAAAGGGGACAACAGGGAGGATGTGAACTTGGGGCAAAATCCTCATAGGCAAGGAGCTTTACTTGGGGAAGTGGGTAAGGATGAGGGTCCTCTTCTCAGGCACCAACTTGTCCTTCTCCACCCGAAATTTCTCTAGCAGCTGCCGCCGGGTGACAGTGAAGATGGAGCGAAGAAGGCTTCGCCCAAAGACGTGAGTGGTCTCATAGCGGGGGAGGCTATCGCAGCTCTGGGGCACGTGGCAGTAACAAAGCCATCTGCAGAGAGTCGGGAGGTGATGAGAGTGAAAACCCCTGAGCCTATAAGCTTCTCCCCACGCTGTTCCTGGCTGGGCCTACCTGGTGTAATTGACCTTGTAGGTAGCCACGTCCTCAGCCTGAGACCGCTGCCGAAATTGGGCAGGTGTCTCAAGCTTCCAGTAGTTAAGGCAGAGCAAAAACATCTTTGAGAGCTCAAACATTGTCTGCCGCTCCCGAGGAGCCAGATGACTGAACTTGTACTGCACAAAGTTTAGCACACCCTAAGAAGGGGTGGACAGGGAACAAAACCAGGAAGGAGGTGTGAGTAGCCAGCATGGGCTTCTTATCCCAAACTAGGAGCTTCTCGAGGGCAGAGGCAAAGCTCTCCTCTTATTCTGAGGCTCTCTGTGAAGAGAAACTATGCCTCCTCCTAACCCCTATGCACACATTGAGGTTAGAACAAAACATCCTCCCTTCCTGGAACCTCTCCCCTGTTCCCAGCTTGAGGAAGATGGAGAACACAGTCTCCTCACTCCTCCAAGATGCCCCCAATTCTCTTGCCCCCTTCTTCATCCCACCTGCTCAATATTAGGCTTTTCAAATGGGGGGCTGCCCAGAGACCCCTCCACCACGGGCCTGGTCATCTGCAAGATGCATTTCCGAAGGAGCTGGAGGAAGAGGAAGAGGAAGAGGGAGGAGTAGAGGTCAGCAGAGATTATAAGTGCAGACCCAGAGTCTCATCTCCTTTGCTCAGTGACTTTCACTCAGAGAAAGCTCACCTTGAAGAGGTAGAAATAAACCTGCTTAGTGTCTGTGTCCTCTTCTTTGTGAACAGACATGAACAGATTTTCCACATCCACCACCATCCCCAGCAGCCGGTTAATCTCATCCTCTGACACATTCTCCAGGTGGGACACGTGGTCAGCTGCAAGAACAGGTGGTAGAGTTGGGAAGAATGGACAGAAGAGATCAACAAGACTTTCTGCCCCTCTTCATCACCAGCCAAGATACACCCTCAGTCCCTCCAACCACTGACCAAAAAGGAGACTGTCAGCCCCTGAGTGGCCTCTAGTATCTTCTGTATTGGCAGATTTCCTTTCTCCTCCCTTGGACTATACACCCTCACAACCCAATCCCTCCTTAGAAGCCATCTTTAGTTTCTGAGCTGAAGCTCTGTGGCACTTAAGTCAGCCTGTCCAAGCAGGAGCCAGCACCTGCTTCTCCCCAGTCCCCAGCTCCAAGGGCACTACCTGTCTTACCCAACGGGTGCTCACAGCTGCGGCACAGCTCACTCAGGTTGGCAGCTGGCTGCTGCAGGTCCATGCGGGGTGCAGTGGGGGGCTTGGGGTTTTTCCAGCCATTACACTTGCATGTTTCATTGGCCTGGAGGCAGAAGAATCAGTCAAAAACCCTGTAGGTACACCAGGGCCGAGGAGCCGCTCCCCAGCCAGAGCTTCGCTTCCATTGCCTCCCGAGCCCTAGGATATCCCAGGCCCCGCCCCCTCGCCCAGGCCCCGCCCCCACCTTGCAAGCAGAGAAGACCCCTAGCTTCTCGAGCTTCTTGGCGCGCGGCAGTCCCCGGACTTGCGCCTTCCTCTGGCTGGCGCGCTGCTGCTGGCTTAGGCCAGGTCGAGCCGGATCCCCCCCGCTCCCAGTCCCCCCACTTCCTACCCCGGGCCCCCCTGTCCCAGTGCTCCCGGTTGGGGCTGCAGCTGGGGCAGGGGCTGGTGCCGGAGTGGGAGCCGGAGTCGGCGCCGAGGCCGGGCTGGGGGTAGGAGTTGCAGTTGGGGCAGGGGCTGGGGACTGAAGGGGACGGGGCTGCGCGGACGGGGCCGGGGTCGAGGCCTGGGAAGGTTCCGCCATGGCCTCCCCCGCAGCGGAGCGCGGCGCGGCGCTCCCTGCCCTACGGCCGCATGGGCAACGGGCGCTCAGTGCGCAGGCGTTTCTGACCCGGAGCACCATGGGAGTTGTAGTTTTGCACCTCTACTCCCTTTGCCTACACCTTCCAGACTTTTCCATCCTGTATCTTGGTCCCGGGCAGCCAAATGAGGCCCGAGCCAGTACATCAGATTGATTCCTCCTCACTCTTAATCTCTTGAAAGCTTCCAGGATAGTCGAGATTACTGTCCTCTTGGGGATAAGGCGAGGCACCCCCCCAAAACAGGCTTCTGGTTGGGGCACTCTTGGGCTCAGCCCTCCTCCCATTACCCCCGCCCCAGGGCGGAAGTGCAGGCCTGGGGCCTGGGGTCGGGTTGGCTTCCTGGCGCATCTCCCTCCCACCCCCACCCGGTCCCTGTCCCACACGTCTCTGGAGATAAAATTGCAGCTACGGAGATTAAGCAGCAACTGTTCTGTTTCTTGACCTGTGAAGTGGTTACACAGGTGTGTTCTCTTTGGGGTAATTGAACTGTAGACCCACAGTCTCTTTTGTGCACTTTTCTGTATGTCCGTTATACTTCCACAAAAAGGGTTTATTATGAAAGTACTGAACACCAGAGGCATGGCCGTGGTCACGAACAAGGCTACCAGAGTGGGAATGTCGTAGAAGCAGAGGAGGGCGGAATCCTTTCTCTGTGCATGGGAACGGCTCTCCCCCGGTACCGTGAGAACCTTCAGGGCTGGGCCGGCATCTTAATCTCTGTGGTCCCTGAGCCGAGCCCGGGCCTGCAGCACAGTAGGCCCAGGATGAAGAAAGGAAGCCAGGAAGATGCGACCACCTCCCAGTCCCCAGTGTCACAGGATTGTGCCCTGCCAGAGAACGGCAAGAGGTTTCAAAAATGTACTACCCTGTGTTCACACTCCAATGTCTCTGTCTAGGGGACAATCCTTCTTGCCCCCAGGCCCGATTCTCGGAAAGGCAAGAGCCCTGATGGCTCAATGCCTTCTCCACTAGGCCTGGTCTCCTTTAGCATATCCAGTTCGGTCCTCTGACGGGGGTGGGGAAGGGCCTAAGGGGCAGAGTACAGGGCAAAAGCAGCAGCAGGCGGGTGCCAGGGCGAATGACAACCTGATCTGTGGAGGTAGGAAGTGCAAAGCTGACCCGGCACGGACTCTACCAAAACTAAGGGAACCCCCCTGAGCAGAGGAGAGCTGCCGAAGGAGAGTGGGGCTGGGTGGGGCGCAGGAGGACCCTCCTCTTTCGTGTTCGGCCTCTGCACGAGCGCGGAGAGCTATCCTCAGAACCTCGTGCCCTTGAACAGCAGTTGCTCACTCAGATGCAACGGGTCAGTAGCGGTCTCCCCAAAGGGAGCCAGGTGGCGTCCCGGTGTCCCAGCGCAGCCCTCGCAGAACAGAACCAGGTGGCTACGGTGCCGGTGTGGCAGCTCAGGGATGATGTGACAGCTGTGCGGGACGACGTCCACGCGGAGAATGGTTTCCAGATGAAGATGGATGCCCACGGCTTCACCCCAGAGGAGCTGGTGGTGCAAGTGGACAGCCAGTGCCTGATGGTGACCGGCCAGCGGCAAACGGAGAGCTACAGTCCTAATGGGGGCTCCTACCGCATGGCGCAGAAGGTGCATCGCCAAATGCTACTGCCCCCGGATCTAGATCGCGGAGCCATGACCTGCTGCTTAACCCCCTCGGGCCAGCTGTGTGTCCGAGGCCAATGCCGGGCGCTGCCTTCCCCTGAAGCCCCAACAGGACAGTCCTCGAGAGTCAGGAGTCGCAACTCTAAGAAGGGTTCCAACCTAGCCTGACCCAGTAAACCACCACCCTAGTGAGCAACAGCCTTGGTGTCTGTGGTCTTTTTTTGGGGTTGGGGTCAGAGGTGGGGGTATAAAGAAGGTAGAGGGAGGCCAGAAAGGCACCTCAAAGTGGTGGCCCACCAGGAATCAGGTCTCTGTGGTCCTGGGAGAAGCCGGGGAGTGGGGGGCAGTGTGGTCTTACTCAGCTCCGCTCTGCTTGGACCAATAGCCCTAGCCCTTGGCGGCTGAGAGCAGCAGCGCCAGCAGGGAGCAGCAGAGAGCTGGGAGGGCCCAAGTGTCAGCTGGATCCAGAACCAGCAGAGGGCCCACTAGAAACCAGGGACCAGATGGCTTGGACCTGGTGTGAGGCTGCTATCTTGGCTGTATGATCAGTCCAAAGTTCCAGAGGTCATTGGTGTTCCTCAGGGAAGAGGGTGAGAGGACCCAATCCCTTATAGTCCTGATACAGATTAACCAATCCCCCCAAAGTTTGTTTCAGACTATTTGGGGGGAGGGTTGGTTTTTTCTGTGTGTGTGTGTGTGTGTGTGTGTGGTTTTGATTTTGAGACTAGTTATTTTCAAATCCAGACTGCACATCACTCCAATATATTCTAGAGGTAGTGGGGGAGAGGAAAATGCAGGACCCTCAACTTCAAACTTAGCGAGATTCAGCTCCAAGTCACTCAACTCCTATGCCATTAGCACTGGTAACAACAGTCAGGCCTCTTTTTCTTGGTTACCATGACACTAGCATCCCCTTACTTGGGGGGCAGGGGCAACTTTTGTTTAACAAGATTCAGTGGTCCATTTTACATTAACTTCAAGTAAGCTAGAGAGGATATAGTCTGATAAATTCTGCCAGAGAAAGACAAGAAAGACAAGCAGGAGGTCGATCGATCGGCTGACTATATTGACCAGGTACTGATTGGTTAACATGTTGAAGAAACATACAATACAAAATACAGAAAAAGTTGGTTCCATTCCCTCCCACACCCTCCCTTACCCCCCTCCCCCCAAATACTCATCATCGTGATTTGGTCAGAACAGGGCTCAGAGCCAGAGGTCAGGGTGACCAAGGATGAGGGGGGGGGTGTGGGCTGTGGGCAATGGGTTCGTGGCTGTCACAATAATGCTGTGGTTTCTCTCCCAGCTGTGAGTCAGGGGTGAGGGGCTGCAGCCTGATGCCAGGCAGCCAGCTAGGGGAAGAGCTGTCCCCCTTCCTTAGTCCCTAGGGCCTGCCCAGGGCCCAGACCAAGCACACTCCAAACACAGTAAGGACATGGATGCTCTTGCTGAGTCTGCTAATCAGCAAGAAGGAAAGAAGGTAACTGCTCCAACCCTTACCTCCCATATACAAGGACGGGGAAACGGGCACATGACTACTACCTCTCAAAGGGAGAGTGGGGGAGCAGCACAGAGGGTAGGAAGTGGGAAGAGGAGATCATATATATTAAAAACGTGACTTCAGACTTAAAATTGAATTAGTATTTGTACAGAAAGGTGCAGGTGGAATAACTCACTCCAGCCTATGAACAAAATTATATGGAGAAATCATGGTGGAACCCCTCCCCTTGCCCACCCCCCATGGTGGCCCGAGTAGTTAAGTGCGATTGGTTAGAGTGGATTCCAGTCGGGTCGTTCAGGCGGAGGAGGTGGGGGCAGTGGACAGGCAAGGGGGGCTCAGTTGCTGCAGCACTGGCTCCGGCTGGCTGGGTTGTTCTCCTGGAGGTCCACACCTCGGTTCCGGCCTGGAGCACCAGCTGCATTCTGGGGCTCATTCTTGGGGAGCTTCTTAGCTGTTTGGGAGAGGGGGAAATATGTTTGTAGGGGTACTCCAATACTATCTCCCAAGTCCACTCGAGTAGAGTCTGGCCTTTACCACCCAATCAGTAATAACAATCACATTGAGGGCTTCACTTCTCTGCACTAGGTGCATGGAGTATTTCAAGAAACTGAGGCAAAGAGAGGTTAAGACCAGAGTTAAGTGGAAGAGCTAGAACTCGAACCCATGCAGGTTGACTTCAGAGCCAAAGGGGCTAAAAAATTCTAAGTAGTGGGTAGGATGGTGATATTGGGTTTTAGGTGAGTGGCAAGCTAAAAGGTTAGGAAGTGAAATGTTGAGACTTTGGCCCAGGCTTTACAAACTTCTGGGGTGAATTATCTACATCTGAGAGTCAAATGAAGAAGAAAATGATTTTATCAGAATACTGAAAATAGTGGAAGATCTGCTGGTGAAGGGACCCCCAACGACTTGCTACAGAACAGCAAGCAGGTGTTATAACCCAATGAGAGAAGGGGAGGAGGGGCAGCTTACCTATTGCCATGAAAATTTCATTCACGTTCATTGCTGTCTTTGCTGATGTCTCCATGAACAGCAAACTGTTGTCATCTGCATAGGCTTGTGCTTCCTGATTTGGATGGAGGTGAGAAAGTGGGTGGGAGGAAAATGTTCAGTTGGCAGGGGCTGGGGCCCAGAATAAAAAATCTGCCCTGATTACAGTGCCTGATACACAGTACAGACATGCTGGGGTTTTCAGGCCTATAGCTCTCCACTCTGGATTCCTCTGAGACATCTGCATCATATACCCTGCTCCCAACTACAGGTACAGCACCTCTTAGCCCACAAACATCAGCAGATGTTTTCATGCACGTGTCCCTATGTTTATTTTGCCTTTTTGCTTTTCAAAATTACTAGGCTAGGAAATACTTCTAGAAAGTTGTCCTACATATAAGTTGAACATTTGAACAAAAGCACAGAAGTATGTGCACATTGACTGTAGCATGGTTTCTGGATTTTTGCTATTAACAAAGCTCAGAGTCTATCAGTTAGGAACTGGTAAAAAAAAATTTTAACATATAGTATGTAAAACACTCCCATCTATGTAAGGAAAGAGACTCACACACATGTGCATATTTCTGGAAAGACCAGAAACTGAACATGGGGGGAGATATAGTTTCTAGGGTTAGAGACTTAAATTTAATTCTATATCCCTTCTTGTACTGTTTAAATTTTACTGTGTGCATGTATTACATGAAAAAAGTATTTCTTTTTCAGTAAATCTCATTAAAAAGTTTACAGGAAGATAAATGGAAGCTTCAGCTATCCATATGCACACATATCCTACTGACAAGAAACAAGAAGAGGCAAATGACAATTCCTTTCGGCTCTGGCTCCAGTCATAGGAGGACAGCAGATAAAAGCAGCTCTGCTGCCTCCCATTGTCGCCCTTCCTGAAGCCGGAGTAGCCTGGGGAAAATCCAGTCTCCTTACTCCTCCCCCAAGTCCTGTCCATGCCCACACCTGGAATTCCACGGCTCTCTTGTTGGCCAGGTCTGCCTTGTTACCCGCAAGCGCGATGACGATGTTGGGGCTGGCCTGCCTCTGTAACTCCTTCACCCAGTTCTTGGCCCGTGCAAACGTATCCTGGGGAGACAGGGCCGGAATGTCAAAGGGACAGAGGAGGCGTTCTGCCCAAGGCCACTCACTTAGAGAAGCTCCAGCTGGCAGAGCCAAGGTGTCTAAGATGTCACCAGCCTGAAAATTCTGGTGAGACACCCCCAAACAACAGAGGAAATCCACCCATACCCCATCTGGAAACAAGGATCGAGAAGTAAGGAAAAATCTTTACTGTGTTGGTGATGTCATAGACCACGATGGCAGCCTGTGCCCCCCGATAGTACATGGGGGCCAGGCTGTGATACCGCTCCTGTCCAGCTGTGTCCCAGATCTCAAACTTGACTGTTGTGTCGTCCAAGCAGACGGTCTGTGTGAGGAAGGCCGCTGTAAGAGGGAAGGTGGTGTTACCAGGCGAGGAGGAGCTGCAGAAGCCACCCCCACGTATCTCCACTGCTGCATCCGGGCTCCGGCACTCAGAGGCTGCTGCTGACGTGGGCAGAGAAGCAGGCCTGAGCAGGGCAGGCAGAGCTGGTATCTGTGTGTGTGCTGAGGGGGCTATGGAATGCACAGGCTTTACAGACCCACCCTTGGTAGGGGTGGGAGAAGGGAAGCCTGCTTGCACTTGAGCCATCGGAGCACTCTAAGGTGGGAATCACAAGGGCCAGGAGAGGCAAAGCACAGGGGAAACCTGACTCTAAGCTCAGAGGGTGGGCCCACCCAGGTTCCTCCTCCTCTTCCTCCTCCTCCTTCTTCCCCTCAGAGAGAACAGTCCAGCTGGAAACCTCCCTAGTCCCTCAGTCTGCTCCAGCCCAGGGGTGTCGCTGGCCTTCTGTTTCCTGAGGACACTCTTACACACTTAGCTATGCTGGCGACGCCTCAAAGTACATGCTGTTCCACTGTCAGGCGGAGGCTGGGTGGCCAGCTTCCTAAACGCCCCTGCCACCTCCAGGTACGCTAGACTCGCCACAATCCCCAGCTCTGACCTCAGTCCATTCCCGATTGGCCAGCCTGTGGCTTGACCTTCAGGAAACACAGATCCTATCTTTGGCCTGAGGAGGCAGGGGAACGTGCGGCACCTGTGCCTATGCTTCAAGGAGGAGTCCCAGAGCTGGGACAGATAGGTAGGAGTCCCCTCTGCTCCGGGACCCAACAGAGAATCCCAGAGAGTTCTGTTCTTGAGAGTCTGCTCTCCTGCCTGCCTTCCCCCAACCTCCCCGAGGACACGGGCCACCGCCTCACTTCCCCTCTCGCTCCTGACTCGAGTGCTGAGGAGGCAGCGCAGACTGCTGACAGGCCCATTCTGTTTCCAGCTGTCTGGAAACCTCCTACCAACCAAGAGCGTAGAGAAAAGATGACTCAAGCCCAAGGTCTGCCCTGATCCCTCAAGGTTTGCCCTGGCTAGGAAGGCAGGAAACTGAGTCCAGACCTTTACATCCTAGATGCTGACCACTGAGAAATCCATGACAAGTTCTGAGCTCAAGAAAGAGCAAAAGTCAGCTTCAGAAATGTGAGCTCACTCACGAGGCCATTTCCCCATTTTGGAAAGTGGGAGAGGCCAGGGCAGATGCATGGCCTGGCACCGTGTGAAGAACCTGCAGGAATCTAGAACCATCCT